CTTTGTGACCTGGCTGTGTGGTGGAGCAGGGTCAGGTGAGTGTGTCTGGCTGCAGAGAGACTGAGGCTGTAGCTCAAGAGAAAAGTGATGATATCGCCTTTATTTCAGTCACTGTTGATGCTGAAGCTCCTTGGTGGCAAATTAAGTACCATCATTGGGTCTGAGTGCCCTGTGTTGAACTATTTTGCAATAGATGGAAGCGCTCTAGAAAGGGGAAGGAATATCTCACTGAGCTGATCATCAGAGACCACAGGAATAACACTTTATTGCTCAATAACTGGTTGTACTCCATGTTATCTGGCTTAGAAATGGGAAGAGAGCTTTTGTTTTTCTTAATGACTAACTTTCCTCTTCCCGAAATACTTCGCCTAGCTGGGGAATGCGACTTCAGGAGAGCGGTTGAGAAAGTTGAGGGGATTTGACAGCTTAAAGTAACCATTAAAGTGAAGCAAAGCAAAGAGGCAGCACTATTTCCATTTTAAGCATTGTCAGGGTAACAAGCATGCAGCCGAATTTCAGAAGGAATGCGTGGATGTGAGGTTATTTGGGCAGCAGTAAAAGTACTGGGAGAGAATTAATGGAAACAGAAATGAAGTTTAGAAACACTCTTTGCCTTAGGGTTAAAATATTCAAAGCATTCTGGCTACTCGGCTGTCAAACTCCCATTCAAGTTAATGACTAAAGTTCTGCTTTCCTCTTTTGAGCTTCAGTTTTTCTGTGTGTGTGTGTGCTCGAGAAGGTGTTGAGCTCTGAAAAACTAGGAAGATGCTCTTTGTTTTAAGCAGCTCATAGCAGAGGCTCTGCTTTCCCACCTGTGTGAGTCAGGTGGGTCAGCTCGTGTATTCCAGCTCCTCCATCACCTGGGGAAGTGTTTGTGCTGGCACAGGTTGCTGGCGTTGGGAAGCAGGTGGAATCTGATGAAGAGGGGATAAGTTACAGCTGTACAAGTAGTTTAATTACGTGCACATCTTGATTGCCAGTTAGAAGTCTGTTCTTTTTAGTAAGCTGATATCACAGTAAGTACAGGGACTTGAAACTGGGAGAAGATGAGATTTGGCAGGTTGGAAGGACACAGTAACCTGAAGGCTGTGGAGGGAGCCTGCTGTGATACACAACACACTGTCAGTGCAGTATTTTGCTCCAAGAGTGTTCTTAGGTGTGAACACCCTCTGAGCCAAAAGAAAGCAGTGAATGCTTCTAGAAAATGTTCTGGTGTTTCTTTTTCGGAGAAAACAGGTGCAGTGTGACCTTTTGTTTCCCCCTCCCTGTGGTCTGGAGGGAGCATTTTTACTGAATGTTGCATCATGCTTCTTGCCTTGTTTTCTTGCCTTTCTCGAATGCTAAAGCCCTGTGGAATTTATCGTCTTCTAATGTTCTCCCTAACTGGAAGGGTGAGGAGGCTGCAAAAAAATGAACAGAGGAGAGTCTGTATGTTGAAACTGAAAGCTGAAACAGCAGCTCATGGAGGCACCTGAGCCCTCTTCCAGCTGATGACTGAACCTGCAAACCTGCACTAGCTAAAACTTTCAGCTGCTAAACCATCACTGGCAGGGCTGGTGCACTTTGTGCTGAAACCACTTACTATTCTCATTAGACTACAGAATAATTGAGAGTTTTTTTTTTTTTTCTTAAACTCTTTAGATTCCATGTGATAATGCATTTTGATAATGAACTTTGGGGCAAGTAGATAAATTTTTAAAGAGTCTTTTCAATATTGATTATTTGAAGGCATGATATGGTTGTTAACTATTCTCGAAAAAATCTTTTTAGAAATTCTATGTTTGCATGGATTGCTTGTCTCCCTGGACTTTAGGATTCTGTGAATTAAAGGTTATGCTGTATGACCAACACATTTTTGTGTACCCTGTCATCTGTGTGATTCATTAGCTTTAACTCAGAGCCTTTGCCTACCTTCAGGCTGCTGAGCAGACCCGTGGAACCAGGAGGATTATCTGTGTGGGGTCTCTCTGGCTGCACTGCCCTTCCCTTGGAGTTTCATGCTCGAAAGTGTTGCCAATTTTGCTGCCTTTTTTTCCTCCTCAAGGAAAACAGCAAAGAGAAGGAATAATGGAATGCATGACCCCAGAGTAACAGAGTGTTTTGGGGCGTTGGCTGCTGAGTGAAATGGCACTTGGGCCAACACTGCTCCATGCCCGGAAAAGAACAGAAAGTCTTCTCTTTAGCAAATCTGCAGAGAGCTAAACTTCCCCTTGCCTTGCTTCTTGATAGTGGAGGTCAGGGTTTGTACTTTTATCTTGTTGAGGTGCTTCTTCCTAAAGCTTGGCATGGGGCAAATGTCTCGGCTCACTTTATAAATAGAAATTTAACATCTACCCCTGGTTGGTCTCTCTGACAGCTGCACCACGGTGTGTTCCCCTTACAGTGCTCCTCAGGGAGTTGTCTTCTGCCAAACTTGAGGTAACAAGGCCTCTGAAACAGTCCAGCAGGTCCCTCTGTGGGATAACAGCCCACACTGAGGCAGCTCCCTGGAGGCATTTTCGGATTTTTATTCAAACTCTGATCTAAATGATGCTCTGAGAATCGATTCAGGGTGGTGATGGTGGGAGGTTTGGACAAGCCACCACCAAGGTTGCCTTTTCAGGGTGAACCTGCTCCATCTTCCCGTACAGTCAGCAGTCTGGATTACCTTGAAGGGCAGGATTTCCTTGAAAGGCATTCCTTCTGGTGGGAAACCTTGACCTTTCCTCCTTGGATGGGGTTACAGTAGGATAATAAGTTAGTTCCTTAGTACAAGTATGGTAAATCTGATGATGGTGGTTAAATTTGCTTACAGGGATTAGGGAGTGAATTTCCCTCCCTGAGTTTTCCCTTCTCAAAGTCAGGAGTGTGTGAATGCATCTAAACTTGGGAGTAATGGACTGCCCCGTGGGGTATTTATTTTATATGCATGTGTTTATGTTAAATAATGTAAATTGTGGAGGAGGAGGAGGGTGTGGGAGAGCTGGAAGACCTCTTTATCAGAAACCTTAAAAAGGTCATGTTTGCACTGCTCTCCTGACACTGGTGCAGTCCCAGAGATGGAGAGGTTGTATATTCCAAGCAGAGCAGGAGGTGCCTCGCTGTGCTGCACTTTACCCCATCGTGTTCCTGCCTGGTTTGAGGAGAGATCCATCATGTTACCCATGGCTTTGTCTTCTCCCCAGCTGTGAAATTGTGTGAAATAAAGATTTGTATATACGCAAATATGCACTGGTTTGGTCCTTTCTGCAGAATAGAGACATCCTCTTTTCGAGTGACTGATGTTACGTTGGTTCAAGGGGATTTATGTAGCTGGAAGTCAGGCTTTTATTCGGTGTAGTTTTTTTTTATTTTTCTTCAGTCACACTTAACTGCTTTCTCAAAATTCTTGGAGTACAAGGCTCAAAAGTTCTTTAAGATTTTTGTAACTTTATACTATTGCCCTTTTGCTGTTCTGCCACGAGTGCCTCTTTAATTGACTAAAACAGACATAATTTAAACTGAAGCCTGATCTGGTTTGGCTGACTTGGTTTGAAACAGTACCTTATGCTAAACCAGAGCAAATCCACAGATGCACAAACCCTGTGTGTCCTATTCCATGGATATTTATTTACCTGCTGCTTTAACTTGCTTCTTGTTAGGGTTTTGCAGATTTCCTCTAATATGATTTCTATTTCTCCAATTCAAATTAGTCAAAGCAGTTTTATTAGCAGGTTTATTTTTCTTCATTAGCTCCTGTGTACATGAGTGTGTTCATTGCTGGCAGAATCCCTCCTGCCATCAGTGTATAACACTCTCACTGCCAAATGTGCTACAGAGCAGAAAGGGATGTTTGATTAAAAGCAGCACATTCAAAAACTAAGGCTTTGTTGTAGCATTCTGTTATTTTTCTTTATGCAGAGAAGCATCACTTGTGTCAGAACCTTTTGGTTGTGGCAACCTCTGACCCAAATCTATTGCTGCGTGTCGTTTTTTGGAAACCATTGTAAATCTACCCTTGTAATGCAGATGTACAAACTTAACTCTCTGTATTCCATTTAAACCATGGTGGAACCTGATGCCTAATAAGTCAGGCTGATATTAAAGCCCTTGTTTATTTTACACTGTGTTTCTGTCAGGATAAGTATTCAGTGTATCCCAGTTTGAAATTACATTTCAAGTCTTGTAGAAACATTAACTTCTGCAAAGCCATGTGGAATGGATGATTGTGGGATTTGAGTGTTGTTGAAGCAGGCAAATTTTGAAAAATAAGGTAATTATAGGTTCAATCTGAAGATAGTAATAAACTGTCTCGGATAATTAATTTGGATTTAGAGTTGCTTAATTCCTCTTGGCGTTTGCAAGTCCCAAACTGACTTGTGAAACGTTCTTGATTTTATTGCAAACATGTGTGACTGTTTTGGAGGGCAACAATATTTGAAGAACAAAGTAGCATGTGTATATAAATGGAGGTAGGCAAGAACACTTACTGAAAATATGGCTGGTGTCATTTTTGGGGCATAATTTGTTAGCATGTCTTCCATTTCAGAACAAAACAGACTGTAGGGGAATTAAAGTCTGTTTTGTGAAAGGATTATTAGCTTTCTAAGTGATATTTTTAAATTCATAACACTGACAAAGCTCAAGTCTATACTTCTCAGACTAAGATAAGAATTATTAATTGAAAGTAGACCTCAAATTCATGGAAGTGATTTAATTCTTCAGAGTAAAATAAAATACTACCAAGAGTGTCTATTTCTTATCCTTTGCCTGAGTATGTCTTTATATTAGAAGATGGTATTTAGTAGAATTGCCAGGATTTCTGGAATGAAGCTGATTCAGAAATGAGGAAGGAAGAATGTTATTGGTCTCAGGTTAAAATACAGATTTCCATTGATTAGAAACCTGTGTAGCTACAAAATATGTCTAACTGTGGTAATGGAAAATATTAATAACACTTTCTGTATGGCAATACCTTGTGTGTTATTTTTAGTTATCTATGTTCAATGAGACTAAACTGTTTTTTTTATGATTCATTGCAGGACCAGTTTGACAACTTAGAAAAACACACGCAGTGGGGTATTGATGTTCTGGAAAAGTACATCAAGTTTGTAAAAGAAAGAACAGAGATTGAACTCAGCTATGCAAAGCAGCTTAGGTAAGTTGATGTGTAAAGTTCTGGACTTATAGTTGCATCTGTTCAGAGCCTGTAATCAACTCTCAAGTTTGCTGTGATAGTGGTGATTTGGTTTATAATAATGGCTTTTAGAGAATAGCTTTAATTTAGAGATTGGAAAGCAAAAGTTCATTTAAGATACTATTTTATTATCTCTGCTTCGCAGAAAGAAGGGTTATTTAGGTGACTGAGTAGCACACTGGGGCTTACTCACGGTTTATGCATGATTAATGGCTCAGGCTTTGAGGCAGCATTGTAATATTTTCCATGAAATTAGGGCTGCTGCGTGTCAATGCTGAAGGGTTTAAGAATTCAGCAGAACAATGACCATTTGTTAGGCAAAGTTTAGGTTTTCTTTTACTCAGACAGGCCCTTTTTGAAGGTGCGTAGGAGAAACTGCAGGTCAGAAAGTCAGACCCAGCCCTTGGAAGGTTTATCTGTGGAGTTAACCAGGCTGCAGCCTGAGATTTGAATTGCTGTTTTGTAATCTTGCCACAGGCCTTGTGAGGTGTCTCCTGAACAGAGCAGAGATCTTTGGGAATTTATCTCAAATAATTCCTGCAAAGTACTTTCTACTTACTTGTCTGGTTCGACCATCAGGTGTGAACCAGACAGAGAAAACCTATTCCTGGAGGTCAGAACCAGTGTAAATGGGGAAGGGGTGCTAAGAACCTTCCCCCAGAGAGCAGATTTTTCCCAGCAAGGTAGAAAAACTGAGAGGTGCTCAGGGAGAACAACACACAGGCAATTCCTGCTGCTGCCGAAGGGCTGTGGGGCAACACTGTTGGTAGCCACTACTTCTGCTGATAAATTGGGAAGTGGTGGAGCTAACTGGGGAGGGGAGAGCAGGAATAATTCTAACACCTCCAGTAAATCCACATGTTTTTAAAATTTTATTTATTTTTAATTTGCATGATGATAATATATATTAGGAGTCCTTCCACCTTCTCAGCACTTAAAGAGGTTGGGATCTGACGTTTAAGGTCTAAAGCACAATGTCTGTTTGAAAGAAAAAATCACCCAGAATTTGCTTGTGTTCAAATGGATTACAGATGCACAATGGCCTGTGATTTACGAGGAGCTGGTAGTTGATAAATCCCTGCCTTGATGGTGATGTGCTCTCCCAGGGGAATGCCACGAGGCTTCCCCAGGGCTCCTCTTAGAGACAAGCAGGAAATAGAAAATGACTCGTGCAGGAACAAATTGCTCACATCCTATGGAGATGAGCAGAGATTGAATTACACAGGCAAAATGAGCTGGAAGAAAAGAGAGTGTGAGTGGACTGGGAAACCCCAGCAGAGTATCTGTGTGAGCTGGCCTGTCTTATGAACAATCCCACACCAGACTTGCTGGGTTTCTTAGGATGACAAATTTCAGGTGTAAAGAGCATCATGATGAAAATGAACACACAAAATGTTAAAGGAAAGTGAAAGATGGTTTTACCTGTCACCATCTAGAAACTATGAGTTCCTGAGATTTATTTCTTATTCTGTCCTAGACTTGCAAAACAAACTTGGTCAATTTGTTTCTTGCCTCTCTGTATTTTTATGGTTTGAGGACAAATACGTCTGTCCCTGAGGAGCTCTTAAACACAGGGCTGCTTGGAGGCATCTGGGAAGTTAGAGGTATAAAAGAAAAAACCAAGGATGTAGACTTGTCAAATATTGAGGTAAAACAGTGCTGGACATTAAAAAAGAATAATAAATCATGTATCTGCTTTTATTTAATAAGTCTCCTTAAGCCTGGTGCAAACCTTCTTTGTACCACATCCATTTGATGCAGAAGGGCTGCAGCACATCACTGCATGTCATAATATACAGAAGATATTATTAAAAAGTTAACTCAGTCTACTCGTGTATTTAACTCAAAATTTTATTTATAGTGTAAGTGAAGCTGCTGAAATTTATTTTCTTCTCTGAAACTTGTATTTTCTGCTCAGTCACTGGGCTCCCTAAGTAGTTATTTTTCCTCTCTGTCTGTCTGCATCTCAGCCTGGTCATCTATTAAAATTTAATTGGCTTTTATTTAAAAATGCTCCTTTGCTTCCTCTTCATAATTCTGCAAATGTGGATGTAATTGATGTGCTGGATGCTGTGCTGAGGTGTGTCCTCATCCTCCTTCCATAGTCAACCCTTCCCTCACAGCACACACAGCTGAAGCATCACAAAGGATGTCAAAACCCTTGCCTAATGTGATGATGGAGACACAGCCTCGAGGCAGATGTGTTGGAAAAAAATGCTGAAGGTATCAGGATAATCTGAGAATCTGATGGGTGACAAATGGGAGAGAGAGAGGAAGATGTCAGACAAGCTGAAATAAGGGAGCAGAGAAACAAACTGGAAAGGCAAGGAAAAAATGATTTAGAGTGAAAAGCAAATAAAAACACTCATGGAAACAGGTGCACAGGGTAGCACAGAATCCTTCCAGAACTGGGGTTTTACTGCTGGTCTTTGTTTTTATGAGTTAGTTCCCTCTTTGGTCACTGTTGGCACTGAAGGTGTCACTGCTTCATGAGCTTGAACATGGGAAGCGCTGGAGTGCAGGTCATGACACTGCAATATTGCTGAACTTTTGCAATACTTCTGGATTCAGAATAATTTTGGGGGTTTTGGATGTGTATCATGGTTTAAATCCCTCGTTTATTTTTGATTTTTAGAAAAGGGGGAAAAAACCAATTCAAATATATAGGCTCTATTTAGGTGTTGTATAAAATGCATAGGAAATAATAAAGTGTTTAACCCAGATGTTAATCCTTGTTAGGTGGGGTTTTTTTTTTCCATGAAAGCACACTGGATTTTTTTTTTCCTCAGCTCTGTAGCATTTCTGCACCTTTAAATATCTACAAGAAGCTGTGTGTGTCAGAGTTAACTGGGCAGTGTGACAGTGCAGGGAGATGGAGTAGTGACTGTGTGTGAAAATGCCTTCTTAGTGCATGTTTCCTTGTGGTTTTTCCTTTCCTCTGCAAGCAGGTGCATGGAGGGAGGCATTCCTGTGGTATGCAAAGGGTGATGTAAGATTTTTTGTCATCATGCTGGACACTTTGCAGGATTCTTCCCATGCTGGTGGTGTTTGGTAGAAGCTGCTGCCTGCAGAACTCGAGAATCAAGTTTATTTTCTCAGAGCATGATCTGTGAGAGAAGACAGAGATTGGAAGGGAGATCCTCATTTGGATCCTTTCCATTTGGGAGACTTAAATTTTGAGGAACACATGTTTGTCTGTGCAAATCTGCCAGGGTTCTGGCTACTCCTCTGTTTGGGCAGATGCTCCTTAATTCCTCAAGGAGAACAAAAGGAATAGGAAATGTTAGATGAGAGGCCCTGCTGTCTCCCAGTCATCAGTAAAACCAGCATCAACAGGGAATGGGTTACACCTCTGAAAAAGCAATTTCTTTACAACTGAATGTGTTCTGGGAGTCCCCCAAAGAGTTTGGCACGGATAAGTCAATGAAACGTGGTCCTCATTCAGACAATGATTCCACCAGTGCTCCTTGTATTCTGCTTTTAGTTGCTGAAACAACCTGGTAAAGCTCAAACAAACTGCTTCCCTTTCACAATAGGGGGACAGGCTACCAGGAGGAACACTGTAATAGGGCTGAGTTTAGGACAGAGGAGCACTGAAAAGGCTTTAAAATTGCTGAGTAAGATTTGTCAGCACTCTGGTGAGCGCTGGTTGAAGGGTGCAGGGGGTTGTGTTGTGCTGCAGTGCAATATGGATGGTAAAGCTGAGCTGTCAGCATCAGCAAGGTGAGGGTCAGGTGGGCAGCATTCCAGGAAACCCTGGATTTGCTGCTGGTGAGGGGTTTGCAGGGCAATGAAAATCATGTAATCGCAGTCAGATGTGCTAACAGTGGTGTTCAGGTTTCTCATTCAAGCTAGGATCACTTGAAGGGCATATTGGTGTTTTAGAATTAAATCATTAACTGGCTGTGGGGTAATGAGATGCAATCATCTGTGCTAATTGGGATAATCAAATTTCACACTTCCCCCAGCATTAGTTGATAATCATAAAATGATCCCCCTTTTGCCATCTCAGTGCAGCTTCCCACAGCTTTATGAAGGTTCTTCATTTCCTTCTAATCATCCTGCTAAAGGCAGGCAAACCTGAGGCACTGTGAACACATTCTTTAGGTATTACTCTGACACAATCAAAGCCTGATTTCATTCACACTTCTGGAAAGGTGTCGGGTCACCGCAGATAAAAACTGAAGTCCCACACAAAGATCATCCAGTAAATTTTAAGGGATATTTTAAAATTTAATTTTACATTTCTGTATTTTTTGATTTTTAGGAATCTTTCCAAGAAATACCAACCCAAAAAGAACTCCAAAGAGGAGGAGGAATACAGGTATGTTCGTGATCCACTACTGGGTGAGCACGTGTTGATGGAGGAAGGGGAGAAGTTTGGATCATCAATTCAGATTTGGCTTGTAAAGCAAAGATGTTAAAGTCAAATGTGAGAATGTAGAAGTCATAGATGCAGAAACAGCCTCTGCACAGTGGTAGATACTAAGGAGTGGACCTTCAGAAAGTGTGGATTTGATCTGTAACTACTCAGTTCCCTTTGTATGTTACGGTTTTGTGGATGCCTGGTTGTTGGTGTTTTTTTTTTTTTGTTTTTTTTCCATTTTTTGTTAATGTGCCTTAAAAACTTTAAGCCAGACTGATCCTGGCTCTTTGAAGTGAACATCCAAATTCATATCTGCCTTCAGCAGGAATAGAGACAGTCGTTAATTTTAGCATGAAACTTAAGCAGTCTGCCTGAGTATTAAATTACTTCAACGGGCTGACAGCACAGATTAGTAACTTACTGAAGGGATAATGTTATAACACCACGGTGGTGTAGCAAACTTGCAGAGTAGGGTGAAGGATATAGTTTTTACTCCCAGTATCCTGGGAGGGATGGACACACAACGTGCTGCTGCTGAAGGGTGTTGCACAGCCTCACCTGTGCTGTTGTTTCACCTGATGATAGACCACGTGTCCTAAAGAACACTCCTGCCCTTGATGAAAATAAAAACGTTCTGTAAGGAGAACTTTCTAGAAGAGCAGCTTTCCCAACAGAAAGGCTGTAAGCCAGAGTTGAGAACCCTTTTTCCTTGGAGCCCTGTGACTCTGGAGTTTCTCAACCTCGGAGTGTTGTAATGCGGCTCTGAACGCAGGCACGGCAGGGTCTGACCCCCAGCCTTGCATTGCAGGAGGCCGCTCTGCCTCTGGAGAGCCCAGCAGGAGCCTCAAACCCTTGACCTTGAAATTCGAAACATCTCAAATTGCTTTGGAGGTGGATCCAACTGGATGATTATATTAATTTAGATTTTTGGGTCAGACCCCCAAGCTGCTCTATACAGCTACTCCAGTGTCTTGTTTAAGAGAGATTACTGACTTTTTGTTTGCTTTTTTACTTTATTTTTAGTAACAGTGTTTGGGAATCAGTTATTTATGCCATTGTTTCCTGAGATATTGGTATTTACACAAGGAAGCTTATGTTACCCAGCACAGTGGCTGTTTTGGTCTGTACCCAGGATTAGGGATAAATCTGCCTTTGGACAGCTCTACCATAAATGGGTATTTTGAGTTTACTACAACATTTTTTGACACATCTTTCATAGCTGGAGAAGAATATTGGAGCTAAGTGATTCTATGTGATGTGGCACAGAAGATCCTGTGTATCCTTTGCCCTTTATAAATATAATGTTCACCTCAGTGTAGTTTTTCCATGTCTCAAAACAACGTCTGGGGATTTGTCGTGCGACCTTTGGGAGCCTCAGACGCTGCTTTGAGACAGCCTGGCTAAAAATCATCCATTTTCAAGCTCATTGTCAGTCTGTAGTTCTGTGGATTTGATCCTCCTTTTTTGTTTTGCAACTGGGATTTCTCTCATTTCACAGCTTGACTGTGAATGTTATTGCTTCTGCTGGACTATATTTTGTCTCTTTTTAAAGTTTATTCTGGTTTTGTGTTTTGTTTTTTTGTGGGTTTTTTTTTCCTCATGCTTTTTTCATCTCTCCTAGTACCACTCCCCTTTATGTCCTCTAAATATCTCCCTCTTTACTTTGATTTTTTCACCTTTAAGTGATGTTATCAGTGCAGGCCACTACTATTTAATAATAATAATAATATTTAATAATAGCTTTTCTAGTATGTACCAGTGTCCTGCTGCTGGGCACAGCCAGCTGGGGTATTTAAATGCAGCTCTGTTGGCACTGGGCTGAATATACCAGTGACATAATCTGCTGTTTTGAAATCGTGTGCACAGATGTTTGTTTCTTCCTTTTAATAGTACATGAAATGCTGTATGGGACATTATTTTATATTAAAAAATAAACCTTGTAGTGGAAGGTATTAAAAAATATGGGTTGACAGTGAACACCTGGTTAGTAAACTCACTGCTTCTTTGAAAACTTTATAAACTGTAGCTGATTGAAATCCAATTTACACTATGAAAAACTTTCTCTTCTAGGCTATGCTGGCCAAAATTTTGCTTGCTTAGACAGGATTTTGCCAGGTAGGACATGCTGATGACTCTGTGCACTGAACTGTAGGGCTTGAAGGAGTGTAACTAGAAATGTTTGGTGAATAGAGATTAGAATGCTGAAGTCCCAGAGCTGTGCTGATAAAGAACCTGGCACTCTAAAGCGGTGATATTGTAAGAGCCAGTGTCAAACTGTCTAAATCGAGATAGATTTATCAGACAACTGTCAGTGTGTGGGATAGGCTTCCTTTGGAGAAATTCCTTCTGGGGAATCTGTGCTAATTCATATTCAGTCTCACGTAGCCACACTAAGTGCTTAAGGGGGATCCCACCTCCCTTTGCAGTGTCTGTATGAAAAGAAAGGGACTCAAGTAGTAAAATGCATTTTTGTCCTTTGCAGGTACACATCAACTAGAGCCTTCCTAGCCACTTTAAATGAAATGAATGACTATGCTGGACAGCACGAGGTCATCTCGGAGAACATGACCTCTCTTATCACTGGGGAGTTAACACGCTACGTGCAGGAGCTGAAACAAGAGAGGAAATCGGTAATTGACCCTTTTTTATCTGTTATTCACATCTAATTGCTATTTGAGATGGATAATTAGTGGTAGTGGAGTTCAGTGTTAAGTAAAATTTGTTTGTAGATAATAAACATGAGCTTTGCTGGTGAACCAAGCACTGAAGAAGTGGGTTATGTGCCCTGGCCAAGTCACTGAACCATTTGAATCGAATGTTATAAAATCAGACAGCAATGCCTTGAGGAGAATCCCTGCTAAATAAGGTCAGAGGCCCATCTGTGCTTAAGGCTCAGTTAGCCAAAAGCTTGCTCAGGGAAGAGTCCAGTAGCATTGTGTAAAGCCTGAAATAATATAGTAGGAACCATACTACTGAGGGTGATTGAAAGAATTATTTGGGTTTTGGTTCATGTTTTCCTGCTTCTCAGGCAGTTCTGGTCAACAGGGCTTTGTAAAAAATTATTCTAATGAGAAATATGGGATCTGTCTTGTTTGGTGGGAGTGGGGAATCTGGTTTTTAACCTGTTGTCCTTCAAGAGTGGTAGAATTAGCAGCTTTATGCTATTTCTCTATTTTAACTAGTACTTTAGGAACCTATTTGCCTGCTGCAGTGAATGTTCAAAGCTGATTAACTTGCACATCACCAGCTCTGAAAGGCAGATAGTTGAGATGTGATTTCCCTCCTTGCTTTGAACTCTTTTATCCCCTGGACATGTGGATATAAAATAGTGAATCTAAGCATTTTTGTTACAAGTACCCATAGCACAGGTATACAGTGACTAAGCAAAGTGCAAAGAGAGTGTCAGGGCGTTGTATTTCATTTCCAAACTGTTGATCTATTCTGGAAAGTGCAAAAATACTCCTGCAGAACTTAGGCTTTTATAAATAGTCCCACTAAACATTAAGCATGTGTTGAAGTGTCGTGCAGGACCAGAGCCCTGGAAATCACCATCTTTGCCTAAGTATAGTATTAGGATGATAAGTCTGTCAACAGAGGAAGAGAATATATAGACATACCTTTAATTTGCAGGATGGTGTGTAATCTTTCAGGGATGTAATATTTTGGCAGCAGCACAGGAAGGATGTTTCACATCTAGCTGTGATGAGAATGTTTTCTCAACCCCTCTGACCTTGTATTCATCATGGATCTGTACAATAAGCAGAGCAAAAAAAAAAAAAAATTCTAGTGAGGCATTTTCCTGTCAACTGTAATGTTTTTACTTAATTCTTCAATTATGTGGGCACATAAATTGTTTGGAATATCTGTTAGACATCTCAAGCATAATGAAAGAGGACTTGCAATATTTCTTGTGAAGAATTTGAGCAGTAACTATTGCTTTTTTTTGTTTTGTTTGTAAACTTTCGTAGTGAGTGTGGCTCACAGAAGTAATGGGTGAATGACAAGAAAATTATTTTAATATCGGTCGAGTGATAACAGCATGGGAACAGCAAAACCCAACTGATGGTGTATTTACCTACTGTTGCTGATAATTACTGGCCTTTAACAGAAAACAGTTGTCAGTCGTGGCTGTTTTTGTTCTTGCAACATGAATAGAAGCTGTTTGAATTAGGAATCCTTGTCTGATTCCTGTAGATTATCATTTATGAGCAAATGGTGTTGAAAAGGAAACTGCTCCCGCCCTCGGGCATTTTTCATACCTGGCCTCTCACTTTATTCTGTAAAAGCATCAATCACGCTGGGATCTGCAGGAGGGGAAGGTGGTTGCTGTGTAAATATCACAGAGGGCGGCTGCTTTGGCAGAACCTTTTATGATATCAATTGATGAATGACTTGGTATTTCCAGAAATTTTTGCTGGCAGAGTTCTTGTGCTCACTGCTTGTTCTGCCCTCAGCTGTTGTGCTACAGGTTCCTGGAGTCGTTTGGATCAGCCCACTCCTGGGGCTAGGACCATATGCAGGAATTGGGAGACCCACATTCTTGTCCACTGAGTCTTGTATAATTTGAATGAAGTCATTCAAGTGTCCAAATACCTGTAAAATGGTACAAATTTCCAGTGATTTCCGTATGACTGAGATAGATAAGCATCCCTTGCTCTTTTTGTTTTAATTTCCCACCTGGAAGAGGGAAATGAAAGAGATGTCAAAACTGTAAATGTGTGAAATATGAACTCAAGTTCAGCAGAAAGTGGTCAGGCAAATCACAGACTGGTTTGGGTTGGAAGGAACCTTAAAAATCATCTCGTTCCAACCCCATGCCATGGGCAGGGACACCTTCCAAGGTTACTCCCAGGTTACTCCAAGCCCCGTCCAACCTGGCCTTGGATGCCTCCAGGGATGGGGCAGCCACAGCTTCTCTGGGCAGCCTGTGCCAGGGCCTCCCCACCCTCACAGGGAACAATTTTTTCCTAATATCTGTAAATATATCTGACTTTAGAGCTTCTGTTTCCAGAGGAAACCCTTTTGATACAGAACATTTGATGGAGTCACGGGAGATAAGGGTGGATGGTGATCTTCAAACACGTGGGGGCTGGTACCTGCCTGCACTGCCCTGTTTTCAGGCTCATTTAGCTCTGTTGATTCAAGTGGAATCAGACCAGCAGATGATCAGGGTCACACAATAATAAATCACACTTCTTGGGTTTGCCTTGACAAGTACAAGCCCCTGACCTGTAAGCAGTGCAGAACCTGCTACTGCATCAAGCCTCACATTGGTTTTATGCTGGATAAAATTCATTTGGGATGCAAATGCTGTGAAAGGTGTATTTGGTGGCTACCTATTTGTGTCTTTTCCGTACAGGGTAGTTGCTAGTGGTGAAAATAAGGGAAGAAGCAGCTAATCAAAACCAGGCAGGACAGTCTGCAGGTTGGACAAGGGGTTGACTTGCAAGTTCACCGTGGTTTGGTGCTGTTCTTCAAAAGACAGATACCTCCTCTTTCTTCTGGTCTGGTTTGGAGCTTGGGAAAGTTCTGGGTTGTCTTTGTTTTTACAGATCACGCGTGTTGTTTCATGACAGCTTTTAATCATCAGAAAGCAGTAAGAAAAAATCAAGCAAAGACTTGTGAAATTTCACTTTGTGAAATTCTGATTTCTTTAGCAGCAAAGGTTAATCAATGCATTAGACTTCATCATATTATGTATTCCCCTTCCATAGGGTAGCTCTCCTTGGGGTTGTCACTGTACCAGGTGAGTTGTTTTGCCCTCACATCACTGAAGTCAGGCACACACACCCTATGTGTGTGAGAATGTGAGAGGGAGAACTCCTTATGCTGTTTCAGTTCTTCCCAGCTGCCTAGTGAAGTGAAACTCTTTGTAGTGCAGTTCCTCACTTCAACTTCTCGTGTTCTCTTGATCTCACTGTGTCCGTGCTCTCACGTGAGTTATTTTCACACTCAGCCAGGGCTCTGCTGCTTAAAAGCTCAAATTTCAGTTCTATGTTGTGTGTGGAGATTATGCCCCGTCCATCTTCCTTTTGAGGTTGCTGAGGGCAGATGAATTCTGGCTGAATTCTCCTTTGCTGTTGGAAGACCTTCATCACCAAGCCACACAAATGAGGTGGGAATCAGAGTGGTTCAGGGAAAGAACATTCATTCTTCATACCACCCCAATTCCACCAAAACCTTATTTTTGGGGTAGTTCTGGAAGGTGTCAAGTTTGAGCTGGAGGCACTGCAGTATCACAGAACTGGATCTTAATCCTCTGTGACAAAAGAAAAGGTGGTGAGCTCAGTAATGTCAGAGAGGAGTGTTTGGACTTTATTTCCCAAGCATTTCCAGGTTGGAAATGTACTCAGTTCTTCTCCCACCAGTTGGGTCTGTTGCTGTGTGTGATATTTGCTCACAGGCACACCAGTTACTCTCTGTATGAGACAAAGATTAGCAGCATATTGATTCTTTAGGTGAGGCAACCTGCTTCTCCACAGTGCTGGGCCTGCCAAGGTGTACTCAGCATACTTTGTTCTATTAAAAAAATTAAAAATCTAGACACTGGGGGTTTTTCTACCCTCTTTTTGGGTGATACCTTAGAGCACTTCTGAGCAAACATGTGGCCCAAGCATTGAGAATTTGTTTGTTGGCTTTTTTTTTTTCCCTTAACACTTCACAGGAGATAACTTGGTTTATATATTCTCTCAGCTATTGTTGAGGAAACCCCTCAATGCTGCAATTTGGATAGAAATTCAAGAATTATTTCCTCGGGCAATTCTGACTTTAGATCTGTGGTCACAAACTAGGTCTGACTCATGGCCTCCTGGCAGCTGCTGCTCTGTGTAGCCATTGCTCATGTCAACTTTGCTAAAATTGTATTTGGGAGTCGTGAACTATCCCTCTTATTACTACTGCTGCTCTCACCTCTACCTCCACCTCCCCTTGGGGCTGGGCTGGCTCCGTACAATCGACCATGAAAGTCAGATGGAAGCCGAGAGCTTTGCTGCAGACTGAGCTGGTGCAGCACCGGGATTCTGTGGTTGGCAGAGAATTTACCTGATGTCAATGCATTCCATTTTGTGTGGGGATAGAAGGGAAGCAGGGAATGAATGCATCCTTATGGATACCGTGGGGGGCAAAACGGGTCTGGTTCTTCCTGGTGGAGCGTGTCCACCCTCCCTGTGCCGGTTCAGACAGGGGGGGCTGCATGTCAGAGAACTTTCTGTTTCTTGCAGGCTCTCAGGTGTTGATGAAAAGTAAATAATTGGAGGAATTCTGTCACGTTCGTTCACCCTGAATAGTGCCCTGTTCTGCACATAGTGCTGTGGTTTTCCACAGGATTTCTCCCTGCCTGGTGCACCCCTGCAGGATGGCAGCTCACGGTCCTGCCAAGGGCACAATGGATTTTTTTCCGTGTTGAGTTTGGGCTGTGCCTCGAGGTCTGCGTGTGTTGGGAGCACAGCTGTGCTTTGTGCTGCAGAGGTGCAAGGAGACACTGCTGCCCCCCAGAAATGACAAACTAAGGGCCAAGTGGGGATGGGAAAAGGGAGACAGCAAAAGGAAGTGATTTGCCAAACTTCGGATTTCAGGTGGATGTGATTTAAGCCAAGCTTTACCCAATTCCTTTTCTGGGACCAATCCGCTT